ATCTATCTATCTATCTATCTATCTATCTATCTATCTATCTATCTATCTATCTATCTATATCTATATATACGAGGCATGTAAACAGGAGGAGATGGAGTGCCATGTGTGAAGACTAGAGAGAACGCCACTTTGGTTGAATTACAGAGTGAAGGAAGGATAGTAACACATAGAAAAGATAAGTTAGGGCCAGCTTGTCAAGGGCTTTAGAAGGAAACTGAGTTCGTATTTGACCCTAGGGGCAATAGCCACTTGAGTCCTTCAAAATTAATAATATACATACATAAAATTGCCTACTTATATCAAGTAGGTATCCAATAAATACTGAAATGAAATGTAAAAATAACATTTTACATAAGATTGTAGCTAGAAGTTTCATTCTTAGTGTTAATTAAAATAAAAGAGAATATACCTAACAGTCTCTCCCCCATTCCCTTCCCTCCTTGCCTTGTTTCTCTTTAATTCTCATGACTCTTTGAGCTTCCCAATTCAACATGTGAGATTCTTAAAGAGCATTATAAATGGGAAATGTCATATTTTAGAGAAGATAGTTATTGGGAATTTCATTTTTAACTTTCCTGTCAAGTTGGCAGCACATTTATTTTGATGTGAGATTGCTGTTTCATTATGATAAAGTACCAGCTTCAAAGAATATGACATCCTCAAATTCAAAAATCAGGACACAAATCCCAAATATTGAAGCTCAAAGGATTAGTTATGGGAAATGAAGACTTGAGGAGACATGCTCATGTATCATGAGCTTGTTTAACAGCAAGAGGGGACAGCAGAAACTTTAGACTGTTTCAAAATTTGTTTTTGACAATTTGAGCATAGGTCCAAAAAGCTATTTGTTTTGCAGTCTTTGTTGGGGAAACCATATATACTTCCTTTCTTTTTTTTCCTCATTCTGACTTCCTCCTAGATGAAACACATGTACACATGTACCTGGTTATAGGCACACCTGATTCATTTCATCTTAGCAAATAGGTCCATGCATATATAACATATGTATTTATTATATATTGTTAACACATATAACATACATGGTACATTGAATTACTCACCTATGTTAAAATTTTCCCTTAATTCCACATGTATGCATACATATTTCCCTTAATTCTCTCTCTCTCACACACACACATACTTTTCTAGGTAAGGAAGATCTGTCCTTGTTTTTTTTTGTTTTTGTTTTTGTTTTTTTTTTAGACTAGGCAATCAGGGTTAAGTGACTTGCCCAGGGTCACACAGCTAAATATTTCCTTCGCTATTCTTTTTTTTTTTTTTTTAGGCAATTGGGGGTAAGTGACTTGCCCAGGGTCACACAGCTAGTAAGTGTCAAGTGTTTGGTCTGAGGCCGAATTTGAACTCAAGTCCTCCTGACTTCAGGGCCAGTGCTCTATCCACTGCACCACCTGGCTGCCCTGTCCTGGCTTTTTAAAGTATATTCTCTAATCATTAAGATGAAAAGGTTCATCTCACTTACAGAATCCATGAGAAACTTACAAATGAACAACTTTTGGCAATCTTATGTTTTCATTACTGTATACAAGTGTTTCATGGATTTCTCTGGCCCAAAACATCTATCAGCTGGTGACGAGTCTAGTTATGAGCCTCTCTTTACTGAGCACTTTATAAATTAGATATTTGCAAAATGATTGGCACAGTGCCTGGCACATTGTAGACTTTTAATAAATGCTTGTTCCTTTCCCCTTTCCACAGTAGGTAGGCAGGCCTTTGGAAGATATACACAGAGTTTGTATTTAAAACCTTATAATTATTAATGTGGAAATGGTTTTTTTCCTCTTCTCAACAGATAAAGATGATATGGAATGAGGGAGATAATTTGAAATTAAAACTAAAATTTTTTTTAAAAAATTAAATAAAGATCTTATAAGTTTGTTGGAACTTCCCAGAGTTTATGCTCCACTGGCATGACTCTTGAGAATCCCAGGACACTTCCATTCCTGTCCATTTCAGTGCAATTCAAGGTATAATATGCTAGGCATTGGGGAATGCAAAAAATAAACAAACAAACAAACAAACAAAACCCCTCCAAAACCAAAACAACAAAATCAGAACAGTCTCTACCCTCAAGATGCTCAAATTCTACTGGGAAGAAAACACGTGTTTTTTTTTTCTGTCTGTAGATAAATAAATACAAAACAATTAATTTACTCATGTAAATAAGTAGGAGCCTCACATTGGAGGTAGTACTTGAATTCAGTCTTGATGGAACCCAAGGATTACAAGAGGTGGAGGAAGTTTCTTTCTGCAATGGGAGACAATCTATGCAAACAAGCATTTATTACGTGCTACTTGTATGACAAGGCAAGGTGCTAGTGTTGGGGATACAAGTACAAAGAATGAAAGGATCCCTTCTCACAGAGGGCTTACTTTCTAATGAGGAAGACAAGTGTATACATGCACATAGAGATAGGAATTTGTCTATGATTTCATTGATAGAGAGAATTCTCTATGATGAAATATTTTATTCCAATGAAGGTGAGAGGAGTCCCTGAAACTTGTAGTCCTGGAGAGTTGCTTAGAGCAAGGAGAGGATATGTGATCTGACCAGTGTCTCCCAGAAGGTATCTGGTTCCAAGACCAGCTCACTATTATGCCTTGGCTGCTTTAAATTGTATGTTAGTATATACATAATGAAAATATACAAAGAGAATAAATAATTTTTAAAAATACAGGTTAGAGAGGACAGTCTCTCTAACTGGGGGTAGAGAGTGGATCAGGAAAGGCTTCATGTAGAAGGTGGTTCCCAAGAGGCGTCTTGAAGAAAGAAGAGGTATTTCATGAACTGGAAGAGAGGAAGGGAGCAATAGATCCCAGTCAGGGGAAATAGCTAGTGCAAAGGCATGGAAATGGGAAATGGAGAGAAATACATGGAGGACTGAAGGAAAATTAGTTTACTTGGTTCTCAGAGTATTAGAGGAGAAGTAATGTATGCTGAGGCCGAAGAGGTTGTTTGGAGACAATTTGTGAAGGACTATAAAAGGTAAATCAAGTAGTTTATATTTGTCTCCTAGAGGCAATAGGAGGCTGCTGAATTTTGTTGAGCAGGGGAGAAGCGTGGCTAGATTTGGGCTTAAGAAAAGTGACTTTGACAGCAGTGTGGAGAATAGACTGGAGTGAGGAGAGATTTGAGGTAGGGAGACTAATTAGGGGGCTGTTGTAATAATCTCTGTGAGAAGACCCTGAGTGAAGGGGGTGGCTATGTGAAGAGAGAGAAGGGCTCAGATGTGAGAGATGTGGCTATAGATACAGCCAGATTTGGCAACTGATAAGATATGTGGAATGAGAGAGATTGAGGCGTCTCATAGGACAGGGTGGTTAAGAAGCTGGGAGACAAGAAGAGTAGCAGTGCCTTTGGCAGACCTAGGGAAGTTTTGAAGAGGGATGGGTTTGGGAGGAAGGGTAAAATAATAACTTATGTTTGGGGCATGTTTGAAGAGAAGGAAAGGGGGAAGGGAACAAAGGTTATTAATTAAGTACCTACTATGTTCCATACTTTGTTCTAAGAGCTTTACAAATATTTCATTTGATTCTCACAATCTTGCGAAGTAGCTGCTATTATTGCTATCATTACTGCTATCATTAAAATGAGGATTCATTTTACAGTTGAGGAAACTGAGGCAGAAAAAAGGTGGTTTTTTTTTTAAGTGACCTTCCAGGAGTCACATAGGTAATAAGTATCTGAGGCTGGATTTGAATTCATTTCTTCCTGATTTCAGGCCCAATCTTCAATCTACCATGCCACATTGCTTTTGAATTTGAGATGTGTCTAGGACATCCATTTTGAAATGCCCATTAATTGGTTGGTGGTATGAGACTGAAGCTGAGTGAAAATGGGGCTACATATATAGATCTATGAGTTATCAGCATAGAGATTATAATTAAAATCATGGGAGTTGATGAGGTCACTAACAGAGAGTATAAAGAGAGAAGAAAGAATGCCCTGGGCTTGGGGTAAACCCATAGTTTGGGGGCATGATATTTTTTTCCAAATTTTTTTGCTAAATATTTCCCAATCACATGTAAAAACATTTGTAACATTCATTTTTTTTTAATTTTGAGTTTCAAATTCTTTCCCTCCCCTGCTCCTTGAGAAGGCAAGCAATTTGATATTGATTACTCATATGAAGTCATGCAAAACATATTTCCATATTAGCCATGTTGCAAAAAAAAAAGCACAGACAAAAAACCCCAAGAAAAATAAAGAAAGTTTTAAAAAAGTATGCTTCAATCTGCATTCAGAGTTTATCAGTTCTCTCTCTCTGGAGGTCGATAGGATTTTTCATCACAGGTCCCTCGGAATTGTTTTGGACTATTGTCTTGATCAGAGTAGCTAAGTCATTCATCATTGATCATTGCGGTTTCTATGTACAGTGTTATGGTTCTGCTCATTCCACTTTGTCTGAGTTTATATAGGTCTTTCCAGGTTTTTCTGAAGCCACCTGCTTGTCATTTCTTGTAGCATAATAGTATTCTATCACAATAATGCATCACTGCTTGTTCAGCCATTCCTCAATTGATGGGTATCCCCCCAATTTCTTTGCCACCACACAAAGGGCTCCTACAAATGTTTTTGTACAAATATATCCTTTCCCCATTTCTGGAATGATATTTTCCTAGTAAGCAAAGGAGAAACAACAGTGATGGTGATGAAAGTAGTTTTCTAAAGATGGTGGCATCAAGTAGCACTTATATTGCTCAAAGCAATCCAGAGATTACAAGAACTGGAGAGAATGTCTTTCAGGAATGGGGGACAATCTATGCAAATGCTTGGAGGTGGGAGATGGAATCCCCTGTACAAAAAACCCAAGAAAGCCAGAGCGATGGAACATGGAATGCATGGGGAGGGATAATGCCATAAGGAAATATTATAGTAAGACTTCAGTGAAGGTACAAATAGTCAAATGTTGTTTCTCTTTCAAAAGTACTTTTTTTTTTGGTATGTATTTCTCTTGTAGTTTGCTATTAAAATAGACCAAGCTGAAGACTTCCTGCAGAACACCCAAGAGTTTGAGAATGCTGAATCCTTAAAATCACTGCTTCAACTCCATGAACACCATTCTAAAGGCAAGACACACGTTTACTACTACCAATCTGCTCATCACGTGCTTTTAGAGATTTTAAAGAGTAAATGTGGGAATGCAAATTTATGGCACTTTTCAATTCTTTTCTTCTACATATCATGATTAATGTATAATCCTGACCATAGCAGTAGAACTAAGGCTTCCATAAGAGATTGCAATCATCTTCAGTGAATGATTATTATAAGGTTCAATTGAGCATAACCAGTTTTACATAAGATCTCTGGAGGAGGAATAAGCCCTGTCTCATTTGAAAACTAATGTAGCTTTCTATATAAAAAAAGTAAAAGCATGTGTGTTTCACTTCCCATCCCCCTCCACAATCAGACATGAAAATCGAGAAAAAATATGACACAAGCTAAACAACATACATAATGGAAATTGGCACAGTGGTTAGATTACTGGGCTTGGAATCAGGAAGGCTTCTTCATAAATTCAAATCCAGCCTCAGACATTTAGTAGCTGTGTGACCCTGGGCAAGTCAATCCTATTAGCCTCAGTTTCCTCATCTGTAAAATGAGCTGGAGAAGGAAATGGCAAACCATTCCAGGATCATTACTAAGAAAACCCAAAAAATGGGGTCATGAAGAATTGAACATGATGGAAATGGCTCAAAAACAACAAACAGCAACAATGGAAATATATAGATAGATAGATAGATTCCTGACCAGTGTCAGCAGGCTAGTCCTTCCTCCTCAGGTTGGGGTAGTCAATTGGCTTATCTAGACACTTTATTCTGTGGAAAAGATGATAGGGAATGACAAAAAGTCACTCATCCCACCCCAGACTCCTAGCTTTTCCATGACAGCTTGATTTCTCCCGAGCTCTGACTGGAAGCTTTGTCACTTAGGGTAAGGGCAGAAAAGCAAAAGCAGCTTGAGGCCATTGGTTTGAAAAGTGATGCCATCTTGGGGTGGAATGGGATGTGGCTATAGCCCTGGCTTCATATTTTAACTAATTTTTCTTTTCTTTAGAGACTAAGTTTAGTTTCTTCAATCCTACAGGGGGATTAGAAGCACTGCCAGTATCTTCTAAATTTTGGTACCTTAGGGCAAAGCTTTGACTTTACTCCTGTAGTTATGTCTCTGAGTGGGAAGGAGAGGTTTTCAGCTTCCTCTCCTTTCATTTCAATCCCATTCACCTCAGAATATTCTGAAAAGCTATTTTTAAAGGACTCCAAATGGTGCTACCAATGATTATTTATCATTTACTAATGATCATGTAATTAGGAAGTTTCAAAGAGCAGAGAAGGTAATTTTTCCTGCACAGATTTTGAGAACCCAACATGCTCATGTGTAATTTTGACTGGCTGTTGCTGTACAGGCCCTTGTGACTGGCTGGTGTTATAAATAGCATGCCAGTGTTCAGGATTAAAGTAGCAAGTCACACATTTCGATCATACTGCAGTAATCTAGTTGGGTCCAAGACAAGGGAACTGAATCACATGAAATTCCACTCAGGAGACTGAGGAGTGAATCAAGCGCAGGTAATAGAGATGAGTTCTGTAGTCTCAATTCAATCTTCATTGGCCTGACACACTCATCACATAGCCATTTTAACACTGATGACCTGACAGTGATTGATGCTTTTACTGATGGGAGCTTCCTAACTGAGGTCATCAAAGGCAAGTGTCTGTCAGAAGGATGGGAGGTCTGGGAAAAAGACAGACTTTCCTAAAGGGTTTGAGGATGGAGGTGGAAAGGTGGAGGTTAGTCGTTGATATCTCTTTGCTCCATTCCTTCCAATGTGTTAGCCTCTGAGGCAACATCGAGCTAGTTTGCATGCAGCACCTGGTGTGGGTTGGGGAAAGAGGCAAGCAGCTCCTTGGACTGACAGCTGAAAAGAAGATCCTCAATTTCAGCATCATGGAAATGGTTCAGAAGAGCCTGTTGGGTCCCTTTGAAGTCCAAATAAATGGATGGAATGTTGGTTGAGGGCAAGTGCCAGGGCTGGTTTGCTGATGACTATAGGCCATTTTAGTTGTAGTCACATAACCCTCATGGGGCAATTGGAACAGGCCCAGTGAAGCAGATTCAGACGTAGCAGAGCCTAAGGAGGAAATCCTCGGGGCCTAAGAGCCAAGAGGCCACTAATGGGTCAGTCTTAAGCAGGTATTTACATGTGCCTCATCTTCCCCACTCATAAAATGGGAATGATGAGACTATCTTACTGGGATCTGAAGAGAAGTAAATACCTGGTGTTGATGAAAAACATAACCAAGAATGGAATTCTGAGTGTGCGTCTTGTAAGGTCTTGAGATACAAATTACTGAAATCATTCCTTACAACTTTTACTACTGGTAAAAATGCAGTTCTGAGATGTTGAGTGAGTCATGAAGTGTTGGGATGATGCTACTGCAAAATATAATTGTGTAAATGTATATTATTATTAAACATATAGTATTATACTTCAACTAAATGGTGGTCTTATCTTAATTAGTTCAGCTATGTTTTTCCAATACCCAACAGTGCCAGACTTGTTTAGTATAGTCACAAAACCTTCCAAAATACCCTCAATAATATAAATTTATAAAAATCATTCATAATATTCAGATGGTCATAGGAGCTAATTATTATTTTAATTTTATTAGATAAGTTGTATTAGATAAGTTCTTTGTTTTTACATCAATCATTTCTGAATATGTCTCACCCTTACCTCAGCAATAAACTCACCATCCATTATAATCAAGAAAAGGTCAGCAAAAACAATGGATGTTTTTCTGATACTGCATGTAACATTGTCTTCACTTATTCCCCTTTGCCTCTCTTCTGGAGGGAAGATGAGGAAAATATAAATCACAGGAGTTTAAAAGATAAATTATGAATCTCTTCCTTTACTGATTAATGTAGAAAATTACAATAATTGACTCAAAGAATCACACAATTTTAGAGTTGGAAAGAACCATAGTGATGCAACTTTTCTCTTTTAAAGATACTTCCAAATACCTGAATATTATGATGTATAGGTTGGGTCTCACCAAGATTTGGTTTGCCATCTCTTTTTCTTCCAGAACTCTTAGGACGTTCCCTAACCCTCTTAAACAAAAGTCAACAACTGACTGAATTCATAGAAAAATTCAAATGTGATGGACCTAATGTGAACCCTGAGTTGATTCAGGGGGCTCATAGCAGTTGCTTGAAGATTGACAGCCTTCTTGAATTGCTACAAGACAGGAGAAGGCAACTGGACAAGTACCTGAAGCAGCAACGTCAGGAGCTGGAGCAGGTCCTGCAAATTTGCCAGTGGGACCAAGAGGAAAACCAGGTATTTATCCTACAAGGGATTAATGATGATGTATGGCCTCAGCAGAGCCATGGGGACTAATACCTGGGTTAGTTGTGCTCAAGAGAGTAGGTTTCTTTGTGTCTCTTGGTTATTTAAACCATTCATAATAACAAAAAAATTGAGCTTTGCAGAATGGCCAGCTGTTGAGTGACTCGGAGATATGTCTACCTTTCAACACATGTGGATGAGGAATGCTTATAATACAACATGCTTTGCAAAGTTTTGAACATCGATTGGCCACATGTGTGGTGAGCATAAGTGGAAAACAAAACCTGAAAGATGATGTCCTTTTTCCTTTGTAATTTTCAGGTAGTCTGAAGTTAAAAACAAAGCAACAAACAAAAACCTAATTTTATCAAAATGATTGTAGTATTTTATTTTAATTTAAAACTAGGTTTCTTAACCTTTGTGTGTTTGTGTCACAGACTCCTTTGTGGTCTGGTGAAGCCTATGGACCCCCTCTCAGAACAATGTTTCTTAATGCATAGGATTATGAAGGAAACCAAAGGTTCATGAAAATGATGATGTAATTATTTTTAAAATTTTTTTAAAAATTTTAACAAGTGTTTTTAAAACTTTGGGTTATAAATTTTCTTCCTTCCTCCCTCCCCACCCACCCTCATTGAAATAGCAAGCATCTCGATACAGGTTATAGATGTGTAGTCATGCAAAACACTTCCATAGTAGTCCTGTTGTGAAAAACTAAGTATATTTCCCTTCATCCTATCCTACCCCCCATTTATTCTATTCTCTCTTTTGACCCTGTCCCTCCTCAGAAGTGTTTGCTTTTGATTATCCCCTCCCTCAATCTGCCCTCCCCTCTATCAACCCCCTGCTCTCTTGTCCCCTTCCCCCCTTATTTTCCTGTAGAGTAAAATAGATTTCCATACCCCATTGTGTATGTTATTCCCTCCTTAAGCCAAATCCTTAAGATTCACTCATTCCCTCTCACCTTCCCCCATTTCCCCTCCACTGTAAAAGTCTTTTCTTGTCTGTCTAATGTGAGATATTTTACTTCATTCTACTTCTCTCTTTCTCCTTCTCCCAGTATAATCTTCTCCCACCCCTTAATTTTATTTTCCAGATATCACTCCTTCATCTTCAACTCACCCTGTGTCCTCTATCTATCTATCTATACAAACATATAATTTTTTCCCTCCCATTACCCTAATACTGACAAAGGACTACTGAGTTACAAATATCATCTTTTCCTGCAGGAATGTAAACAGTTCAACCTTAATAAGTCTCTTATGATTTCTCTTTCCTGTTTACCTCTTCCATGTTTCACTTGAGTCTTGTATTTGAAGGTCAAATTTCCTATTCAGCTCTGGTCTTTTCCACAGGAATGCTTGAAAGTCCTCTATTTCATTGAATGACCATTTTTTTCCCTGAAGGATTATACTCAGTTTTCCTGGGTAGGTGATTCTAGGTTGTAGTCTTAATTCCTTTGCCCTCCAGAATATCATACTCCATGTCCTTTGGACCCTTAATGTAGAAGCTGCTAAATCTTGTGTTATGCTGATTGTGTTTCCACAATACTTGAATTGTTTCCTTCTGGCTGCTTGCAATATCTTCTCCTTGACCTGGGAATTCTGGAATTTGGCTACAACATTCCTAGGAGTTTTCCTTAGGGGATCTCTTTCAGGAGGTGATCGGTGGATTCTTTCCATTTCTATTTTGCCCTCTGGTTCTAAAATATCAGGGCAGTTTTCTTTGATAATTTCTTGAAAGATGATGTCTAGGTTCTTTTTTTGATCATAGCTTTCAGATAGTCCAATAATTTTTAAGTTCTCTCTCCTGGATCTATTTTCCAGGTCAGTTGTTTTTCCAATGAGATATTTCACCTCTTCTATTTTTCATTCCTTTTGATTAGTGTTACGATGCCTTGATTTCTCAAATTGTCCCTATCTTCCAATTTCTCCATTCTAATTTTTAAGGAAGTATTTTCTTCAGTAAGCTTTTGGACTTCCTTTTCCATTTGGCTAAATTTGCTTGTAAGGGCATTCTTCTCCTCATTGGCCTTTTGGACCTCTTTGGCCATTTGGGTTAGGCTATTTTTTTAAGGTGTTATTTTCTTCAGTATTTTTTTGGGTCTCCTTTAGCATCACTCTCAGTTTTTCCTCTACTTCTCTTATTTGCTTTTCAAAATCCTTTTTGAGCTCTTCCATGAACTGGGACCAATTCATATTTTTCTTGGAGGCTTTGGATGTAGGAGCTCTGGCTTCGTTGTCTTCTTCTGGTTGTATGTTTTTCTTCTTTGTAATCAAAGTAAGATAATACAGTCTGACTCTTTTTGCACTGCTTGCTCATGATCCCAGCCAATTATTTGAGTTATAAACTCTTTGTTAAGGTAGGAGTCTGTTTCTAGTGTGGAGAATGTACTGTCCCAAGCTTCAGGGGTTTTGTGCAGCTGTGTTCAGAGATACTTCTAGGGACCTGTAAATTTTCAGTTCTTCCAAGGTGCTATGATCAAGGGCAAGGTGTTACTCCTTTCCTGGCCTGTACTCTGGTCTGTGAGCACTCTTTTCTGTCTTGGAACTATGAGCACTGTGAGGAGGGTTTCCTCTCCACAGCCACTACAAGCTTCACCACGTCAGCACTCCTCCTTGCCCCAGGACTGCCATCCAGAACTGTGACCCAGATCCAAGCACAGGCAAAGCAAGAGAATCCTGCACCAGCAGAGAGATTCCTGCAATCCCCCTCTTATCAGCCACTTGATTCCCCCTCAGTCTGTGGGCTGAAAGCTCAGGAGGCAGCCATTGCCCCCGCCAAGCTCGGGGACTGAAGCTGAGACCACTGACTTCTCTTTCTCCCCACTGACACAGAATTTTCTCACTGACCTTCTCACTGTCTTTGGCATTCATGGGTTGAGAAGTCTGGAAACCGTCACAGCTGCCCGCGATTCAGTCCTGTGAGGCCTGCTTCAGGGTCGCTGTGGCCTGCGCACCCACACAGAACTGTGCTCCTCTCCCCAACTGGTGCAATATACCTTTCCAATCAACCATTCAGGCTGTCTTGGGCTGGAAATCTGTTTCACTCTGTCTTTTTGTGGGTTCCGCTGCTTTAGAATTTGTTTGGAGCCATTTTTTTATAGGTATTTGGAGGGGTTTGGGGGAGAGCTCAAGCAAGTCACTGCTTTTACTTCACCATCTTGGCTCTGCCTCCCAGATGTAATTATTTTTGTTAGCTAAGTTCATGGATACTTTGAAATATATAAATGGACTCCCAAGGTGTCTGTAGCCCCCATGTTAATAACTCTTGGTTTAAAAGTTTGATGGGAAGCAGAGAAATTTTTCATAAGACAAAATGATTTAAAGGCAGGGGTTTTTTTTTGGCCTATAGGAAAATCAGGAATCTATAGAAAAGAGGAAAAGCAAATACATTTTCACTGGAAAATGAAAAGTCACTGATATATCAAAATAAAAAGAAGCCAAACATTAAAGACTTCAGTTAACAGTTCTTCAGTTAAAAGTGATAATTGTGCTTTCTTAAATGCTGAAGATTTTGATTAAGGCCGCCCTTTTGCTGCTCAATTCTCATTGCATTTCTGTTTCACAGGAATGTTAATTTTTGCAGTTAAGGTCTAGGAATGTGCTATGGGCATAATCACAGTCAGAGGATCACAGTCAGAGGATCATATAAGTGACATTCCTATCTTTTGTAGCCTTAATATTTCCTCTCATGCAATAGAGTAATGATTTTCTGAGGAAAAGGAAGATAATCCTTTCCTCAGTGTTCTGTTAAAATAGATTATTTAGTTTAGTGGGTAAAAGATGATAGAATCCACTTCAGTAATGGCCTTGTGGTGACTCATTGCTTCTACAATAGCAGGGAGTTTATAGAATTGGTTCTTTTTTAATTTTATTTTTTCAATTAAATGTAAAGACAATTTTTAATATTCATTTAAAATATTTTGAATTCCAAATTTTCTCACTCCCTTGCCTCTCCCTAAAATGATAGGCAATTTGGTATAGGTTACATGAAATCATGTAAACATTTCCATATTAGTTATATTGTGAAAGAAGAAACAGACCAAAAGGTAAAAAACTATGGAAAAAAAGTGAAAACAGTATGCTTCCATCTGAATTAAGACTAAATCAGTTTTTTCTCTGGATGCGAAAAGCACTTTCCATTATGAATTCTTTGGAATTGCCTTGAATCATTGTATTACTGGGAGGAGCTAAGTTATTCATAGTTGATTATCACACAATGTTGTTGCTACTGTGTACAATTTTCTCCTGGCTCTGCTCACTTCATTTTGAATCAGTTCATGTAAGTCTTTCCAGGTTTTTCTGAAATCTGCCTGCTTGTCATTTCTTATAGCACAATAGTATTCCATTACATTTATATACCACAGCTTGTTCAGCCATTCCCTAATTGATGGACATCCCCTCAATTTCCAATTCTTTGCCACAACAAAAGAGCTGCTATAAATATTTTTGTCCTGTGGGTCCTTTTTCCTTTTTTATGATCTCTCTAGAATACAGAATTAGTAGTGGTATTGCCAGATCAAAGGGTATGCACAGTTTGATTGCCCTTTGAGTATAGTTCCAAATTACTTGCCAGAGCTGTATCTGGAGTCAGGAAGACCTGAATTTAAATCCAGTCTAAGTCACTAAACTAGCTATATGACCTTAGGAAAGTCTGTATCCCTCTGTTTCCTCAACTGTAAAATGGAAATAATAATAGCACCTACCTTGCAGGGTTATTGTTAGGAGCAAATGAGATATTTGTCAAGAAAAAAAAGCATTTAGCACAGTGCCTGGCACATAGTCAGTGCTATATAAATGCTTATTCCCTTCCCTTTCCTATTTAGAAGCAGAATCTCATAGGTTCATTATGGGGTTTAAATGAAATATAGAACATAAAAGTCATGAGAAGCAAAATAATTTAGTGGCAACAGTGTGAGACTTGGTGTCAAGAGAGTCCTGGTTTCAATCCTATCTCTGATAATTATTAGCTGTGTGAACAGAGGCAAA